TTTGTGTTCAATCATAAAATATCTATAATCATTCCTGTCATACGATCTTTTTCTCCGCCGTCAAAATCTCATCATTTTTATTTATTTTTTCTCATCACATTTCTATCGCTAAATATATCTTACTTTCTCATTCTCTTCATCTCCCTCATTCTATCTCTATCTCCTCTTTTCACTTTCCGTCTCTCTCTCTCTCTCCCCTCTCTCTCTCTGTCAAGATATTTTCTCTCTTTCCCTCTTTTCTTCTCATAGGTCTTTTGAACAGGAGTAGATTTTTATCCCTTGTTCACTGTATAGGATTGGGTTTCCGGTTCCTTCAAAAGTATTCTCTTTTACTTCCGGTGGCCCATGGCATCTTACTACCGTGGTATTATTTCCGTGATTGGAGCGGTGTCTCTTACTCTTGAGTGGCTCTTGGGCCTTGTACAGGTTGAATATCATTGTAAAAAAAAATCAGTATCTCTTGAAATTCTATAATTTCTCTGTGTTTATTATTATATATATGTGTGTGTGTGTGTGTGTGTGTGTGTGTGTGCGTGTGCGTGCGCACGCGCGTGCATACGTGTGTGTTTGTGCGCGTGCACGCGTGTGTGTGTGTTTATTTGGATGTGCGTCACATGATCCCACTGTCATTATGACAATTAACCAGCTGGTCTTTACGAAAACAAATATCTATCTATCTATCTATCTATCTATCTATCTATCTATCTATCTATCTATTTATATTAAGAAATGGACAAGGTCCGACAATTTATTTATTAAAGACATTTTTATGTTTAACGTTGTTATTTTATAGATACAAGTATTTAAGCAAATGCTCTGTTTATGATAAACAGTATTAAATAACATTTACCGGCCTGAATGTCCGAGAAATTTTCATAGAAAAGAAACGAATATTTTCTGTTAAAGAACGAATATTTTCTATGAAAATTTCTCGGACATTCAGGCCGGTAAATGTTATTTAATATTGTTTATCATAAACAGAGCATTTGCTTAAATACTTGTATCTATAAAATAACAACGCTATCTATCTATCTATCTATCTATCTATCTATCTATCTGCCTGTCTGTCTATCTCTTGCTATCTCTTTCTTTCCTCATCATTTTACTCGGCCTCTTATGTATACCATCTCCCTCTTTCACTCACTCACTCACTCACTCACTCACTCACTCACTCACACTCTCTATCACTTATTTCTCGTATTGTCACTCATTCTTTACTTCAAATCCTTTCTATATGTGTACAGGATTCTGTGATGTAGTTATGAAGCGCCTGCCATAAAGCGATGGCTTACCATCCTAATTTCACAAGCTATTGATAGTAATTCAACGATGCTTAGCAAATATCTGAATTAAATATTATTTATCTGTTTCCTTCTCTCTCACTGTGTCTGTCTGTATGTCTCGCCTCGCTCTCTGTTCCTATCTCTTCCCCTGATTCTCTTTCTCTGATGCAGATTTTATCATTCTTTTATGAAATGTCCAAATTTCTAATTTTTCCTCATTCCCTCCATTTTTCAGTTCCAATCTCCGGTTTCTGACCATTCGTAGTCGATAAGCAATAAGTATTGAAACATGTTTGCCATGAGATCCATAATATCAGCAGTACCTCTCCATTTCGCTAAAAGAAACTGGGCCAGAGAACGATAGAAGCGGCAGCTAAAAGATGCAGGCAATTCTGAACCACCGCATGACTGTATAGAGACCATTATCTATCTATCTATCTATCTATCTATCTATCTATCTATCTCTCTCTCTCTATATATATATATATATGTATATATATGTATGTATGTAGGAATATAAAAGACAGAGCTCGTGTATTTTGTTCATTGTAGACATTATTATCGTCTATCGGACTGAAAATTCGAAAAATGTTATTAAAGGAAAATGCGCTACAGCCCACTCCCATATATATATATATATATATATATATATATATATATATATATATATAGATAGATAGATAGATAAACCTAGTGAAACCAGACAAAACCTACCTAGGTTTCACCTAAACGGATCGTCAGGGAAATTTCCCTGACGATCCGTTCAGGTGAAACCTAGGTAGGTTTGTCTGGCTCACTAGGTTTATCTAGGTCTGCTCTACGGTTGTATTGAGCTCTTTTGTTAGTTAGTTGTTTACTCGTGTCGGGTTTTTTTTCTTTGGGCTTCAAACCTGCATCTGTGCGATTTTTTTGCGACAGACTTTCATGTTTCTAGCTCTCTCTTTTTAAAACCTTTTTTTCCTTCGAGATTGATTTGATTATTGGCAAATCAAAGATTCGAGGTTTTTCGAAACGAGTATAGTTACCTATATATATATATACATATATATATATATATATATATATATATATATATATATATATATATATATATATATATATATATATATATATATATATATATATATATATATATATATATATTAATAATAATAGCTGGCAACTCTTATTCGTGGATACCCATCTACTAGGGTGTTTGTGTTTATATTTTTTCAACACCCACAGAGCCAAACTGTGGTTTCTACTGCAACTATGCTAAGCAGACATTAGTTACAGTTTCTGGGAGAGAGCGTGTTATCGAGCATGATCACAATCTGAACAAGGCCAGCAGGCTCAAAACTCTCGGTCATGATGATTTGTGATTTCGTGTTAGCACGGTTATCGACGGCCTCCATGTGTTCCGTCTACCCAATTCCCCTCACAAGGCTTGGGTCAACTTGAGATCACCCACCCCCACCTCCACCTCCAGACCGATAACATCACGAAGTTTCTTTCCTGACAAATCAACTGGGGTGAGATTCGAACCCGGGTCTTATGGTCAGAAAGTAAAAATTCTAACCACTCGGCCACATCCATCTGAAATCTTGCCAAAATATCAATCTGAGGCTCGTATTTTTTTTTCGAATATCCCATTTCCTAACAGAAATATTTCTTTCCTAAGCCAACATATATGACTATAAAAATTTAAAAATAAGAAAAGAAATTGTTTAAATTCAAAACATTATATCATTTAAAATATATAAATACATAAATTAATTTCTTAAACTAAACTAAAATAAATAATAATTACTTTATAAAAAAATTAAAGAATAACAATAATATTTATTAGATATTAAATTACATCACTTCGCATCTTCCATAGTTTATCTTAAATTCCAGTTCGCCTGATGTATATTTGTGAGCTTTCTTGAATTTAAAAAATTTGTAAAGTTAACAACATTTTTGATTCTGTTTATAAATAGTTGTTGCGAAATAAATCCTTACATTTGCCTTGATAAAGTCCATCAGAGGACGAAACCCTAGGCAAAGCTAAGTTTTTTCATTTCATTTTGCTTTAATTCACATGTGCGTATGTTTGTCTGTGTGTGCGTGTGTGTATGCACGCATGTGTGTATGTGTGTATAATGGACTCCCCCCATTGTTTTCAATGTATGAGGGTCGAACACTGTTTCCGGCTGTGATGTCCTACATGTGCTTGCGTCTTCGATGACTTTTAAGACCAGCCTGATACAAAAAGAGTATTACACCCGCTATATGTACAGTAAATCAATAAATGCGTGAAAAATTAAGAGAATTTAGCGTATTTATCAGGTTAGAAGAACCGTTCAAAACCAATCAATAGATTAATAGAGCTATTATTTGAATAGATCAAAAATTATTTTATCGAATATACATATATATATATATATATATATATATATATATATATATATATATATTCAAACAAATATTGTTAAATAGATCAGACAACGAATGTCTATTATGTTTGATCATGAGTCATTCTAAACTTCGTATAGTTGCTTTAATTTCGGGAGAAAATAAAAACAAAAATTGGCCAACATTTGTATATTTTTAATATGCTTTTCCATGATCAAAGCTTTCGCCTCACATGAGCCATCATCAGAGTGGTTATATGGACATTTCTATGAGATCAACACATTGTTTTATTGAATATATATATATATATATATATATATATATATATATATATATACAATTTTTTTTTTCAAGTTTGACGATCGCAAATAGCGTGAAACCAGGGTCACAAACTCACATCAATCCAACTATATATATATATATATATATATGTGTGTGTGTGTGTGTGTGTGTGTGTGTGTGTGTGTGTGTATAAAGAGAGATATACCGTATTTTCAGGCTTCCAAAACGTTGCGGGTTGGAAGACGCCCCTTAATATTGCAAAGAAATTTCTAAGAAAAAAACGTCATTCTAATTAAACAATACATTCACCACGTGTCCCTCACATACTGGAACCATGTAGTGTTTTACATCATATAAAATTCTGAATTAGATAGATAGCTAACATTATAGTGTAATGACTCAACATCCAAATTCACGTCCCTATCAGTCAAGCCAATTAGGTGACCGTCCAATCTTACTTGAGCATTGGCCTTGCCTTACATTCGTCTTGTAAGGCGCACACTTATTTTTCAGGGTGTTTTTTAGTATAAAATGTGCGTCTTGTAAGCCGGAATACACGGTAATTAAGTAACAATAATTAATTTAAAGGATCTGTATTAAATTCAAACGACAAAGTCTGTCTGTTTAATTATTTAGGGATACGTATATGACAAGTGGTAACATATAATAGTCATCCGTTTATCGCGTGAAATAAATGCAGAGATCTGTTTGGACAGCATTCTTATAATAGGCGTTGCTCACAAGTGGTAGCGGCAAAGTCCATACTACTTTCACTTCACGACCACTGTTCAATTTACTCTTAATTTTGATAGTTTGATTGATTTGCTTTACGGGTTATCAACCTTTTGCCAGAAAATATTTTTTGATTGTAAGAAATTTATGGAGATAATTATCGTTTTTAAATGATATAACTTCTATTAATTAACCCATAGCTGGAGGAGAAGAGATGGATTCGCAAATTTAGGTATAAATGAATATAATAAACCAGACTGGAATTGGAAAGGTTCTCCGGTGATCAGTTCCGAGCCGTTATCCATTATATCAGCCGTACATGCAAACTTACAGCATCTTGTATTCCCAAGTGGTCAGCCATCTAGGTACTGAACAGACCCTACGTTGCTTAACTTCGGTGATCGTACGAGAACCGGTGTTTCAACGTGATGTGGCCGTAAACATGTACTTTTGGTAGAATCTCGTATATAGATAGGTTTGTGTGCGTGTATGAGAGTGTAAGTTGTGTTTGTGTATGTGTGTGCCCATGTGCGTGTGTGCGCATGCGCGAAACACAAGCAAAGAAATCTGGTAAGTGGAGATGAGCCCGCGGCTCTGAAAAGTCTAAAGCGATTATTTGATTCCTTTTGAAAGTGAGAAGACGCAACATTCGGTTGAAGTGCGAGATTTTTTCTTTCTTTCTTTCTTTTTTTTTTCTTTTTCACGGCAGAAGATTGAATTATCATTAAGATAATTAAGCAATCAAAATGTCAGATAAAACTTCATCTAATAACCATGTCATGCTACAAACTTATTGATCCACCCATGTATCTACTTTAGACTGAATGTAAGAAACTATGACTTATCTGAATATTGAATTAATTAATTCTAAAAGTGATTCAGTTTCCCCGCCACATCTTGTCCGTTTTATCATAGCTTTTCGATTCGAATATTCTTCAGTTTTCTTTAGATAAATGTTACATCTTGTAGTTCTTACATATGGTAGTCCGTAATTTTGTTAGTTCTTACACCAAACCGTTCTTATATCTGTCAGTTCGTACATTTGGTAGTTCTTACATCTTGTACATTTAACATATGGTATTTCTTATATCTGGTAGTTCTTATAACTGTTGGTTTTTACGTCTGGTAATTATTAACTTGTATCTTACCTCTGGTATTCTTACTTCTTATAGAACTAACACATGTGAGTTTTACACCTAGCAGATCTTATATCTGTTAGTTCTTGTGTCTTGTAGTTATTACTTCTTGCAACTCTAACATCTGTTAGTTCTAACATGTGGTAGATCTTACCTCTAGTTAGTTCCTACATCTTGTAGTTCTTACATCTGATCTCTTACATGCGATACTTCTTACCTCTGTTCTTACATAAGATAATTGTTACCTCTGCTAATTCTTACATTTGCTACGTCTTACATCTTGTAGCTCTAACATATGGTAGTTCTTATATGTGTTAATTCTTATATCTGGCCCTTCTTACCACTGTTAGTTCTTACATATGGTAGATACTACATCTGGTAATTCTTACATCTGGTAATTCTTACATGTGACAGATGCTATCTCCAGTAGGTCTTAATTGTGTTAGTTCTTACATTTTTATTTCTTGTATCTGATACTTCTTACCTATGTTAGTTCTTACAGACGATAGATCTTGCCTCTGTTATTTCCTACATTCGGTACGTCTTCCTTCTTGTAGCTCTAACATCTGGTAGTTCTTACATATGGTACTTTTTACAGTTCGAACATCTGGTAAGTTTTACGTATGGTACTTTTACAGTTCAAACATCTGGTAAGTCTTACACCTGTTACTTCTGTTCTGTTCTTACATCTGTTAGCTTTTACATCTGTTAGTTTTGCATGTGGTAATTCTTTACCTCTTTCATCTGGTAGCTCTTATCTGTAGCAATTCTTACATCTGCTGGTTCTTAACATTTGCTAGTTCTTACATCTTGCAGGTCTAACTCAGGTAGTTCTTACATCTGGTAATTCTTAACTCTGTTAGTTTTACGTCTGTAAGTTTTTATCTCAGTAAGTTAACTGTGTATGTTCTTACAGCTACCAGGTGTACAAACTACACCTGGTAGTTCTTGCCTCTGGTAGGTCTTACTTCTCGTAGATCTAGCAGCTGATAATTCTAAAACGTAGTCGTTCTTACCTCTGGTAGTACTTATATCTGTTAATTATTATACTGCCAGATGGCAGTTCTTACATATGTTATTTCTTACATTTTTAGTTCCTACATCCGTTATTTCTAACCGGGGGTACTTTTTACCTCTCTTAGTTCTTACATCTGGTAGTTCTTGCATCTGGTAGTTATTACCTCTGGTAGTTCTTATATCCGTTATTTCTAACACCTGATACTTCTTACTTCTGTTCTTACATCTCTTAGTTCTTAGCGCTGATTGTTTTATATCTGTTCATTCTTATATCTGGTACTTCTTACATGTGGTAGTTCTTACATTTGGTATTTCTTATTTCTCGTAGCTGTAACATCTGGTAGTATACTTTTTAATGTAAAACCCCGAGCACTAAGGTTTGTTAAAAACAAAAAATCATTAAAAAAATTTAAATGAAAGCAATAAAATTAGAAAAAGAGAAGACACCAACTATCACTTAGCGATTTATATTTGTGTATGCAAAGTGTTAATGAGTGCGTAGTATAACGGATATCGGCGTAGAGAGTGGAATCGGACATTCGAATTCCAGGCTTGCCTGTTGCATTCACTTTCAAGCAAATACTCACGTGAGAGACATAAATGCGTCTGTTTTATGATCTAAATAGCAGGGTATACTGGATTCTCTCACCCTGTTTGGGTCTCAGACTCCCAGAAAAAAAAAAATAATCCCAAACAAGGCTACAGGAAACCACTCCACTATCTTTCACAATAATACATGGTAATTCATATTTTTATGGCTTTGTCAAATACCATTCATTTTTATGCATTTGCCAAATACAATTCATTTCCATGCTTTTGTCAAATACTATTCATTTTATGGCTTTGCCAAATACAATTTATTTTTATGAACTTTCAGATATCATTCATTTTATGGCTTTGCCAAATAACATTCATTTTGTGGCTTTGCCAAATACCATTCATTTTAAAGGATTTGCTAAATACAATTTATTTTTATAGGTTTTCCAAATACCATTCATTTTATGCATTTGCCAAATACAATTCATTTTTATCGATTTGTCAAATACAATTCATTTTTATGGCTTTGCCAATTGCTATTCACGTTATAGCTTTGTCAAATACCAATCATTTTTATGGATTTGCTAAATACCATTCATTTTTGTGACTGTCAAATACATATCATTTTCATGCTTTTGTCAAATACCGTTCATTTTTATGTCTTTGCTAAATACCATTCATTTTTATGGTTTTGCCAAATACAATTCATTTCTATGGATTTTCCAAAAACCATTAATTTTCACTACTATTTTTTCAGCTGTTTTTCTGTTGATTCTTACCGTTAATGTCCATCTTAATCTTACCGTTAAAGGTCATTATTCTACAATTGTGTTTTTCAGGTTACACCATGCCTGATCCAAACTCGCATCTCGTAATCTGGAAGACTGGAAACAATTGGCCTTCAACGAGATTTGAACTCGTATCCCTCATCATTGGGAGTTTTACCAATTAGGCTACAAGCGTTTCGCCAATAGATGTTGTTTAATTAAATGCATATTTAAAATAGTTTAACCCATTACAAATTAAAGTAACATGATTCTACACGATGCATATTTTATATTAAGTCTGTGGAGTAGAAGCTTCTAGGCTTAACTTACGAAGGCTTGATGCTGTAATTTCGTTAGCAACTAGGTTGAGGGGTCTTGTTTGGGATTCAGAGTTATTTTTCTCCTAGACTGATTGCCAATCAAAACTAGGGAATTCAGTCTGCCATCCTATTAACCCAGTGCAGATGGATTAATACATTCTCAAGGTTATTTTTATAAAAGCGAACGCAACGGCCTTGACTGGAATTTTAACACGACACCCCCCCCCTATCTTGCTCTCTGCCCCGATAATCGCTACGCTAGGCACACATATCCACCTTTCTAATGTAAGTGTAGCTTTCATTCTAGTCATAAGGAATGGTGAATAGTCAAAAAGATTGGCGAGTAAATAAAAACATTACCAAAATCGTTTGTTTAGGTACATCTCAGAATAACACGCTTTCTTTCCCAGAAAAAAAAAACAAAACAACTTTTTAGCGCCATCTCATATGGCAATTGTACTCCTGGGAGTTAAAAAAAACATGTCTGTGCTAAATTCTTGTTCAACCCATTCAGTATTTTAGCTATTTAAATAGCTTAGTCGAACATACTGAGACTTCTTCGTTTAGCAGACAAGTCTTTTAACAGAAGACAGATAACATGACACCGAAATCCGAAGGTGCATTAAAATAGCAAACGATGCCTTTCAAAAAACCAAGCAAAGTATTAAGAAACAGAAAAAAATCGTTAAAAACGAAGAAAAGAGTGCACAGCTGCTAATATCATTCATCCTATATAGCAGTTATTGATGGAAAATTTCCTCACAGATGAAGCGGAGCGTTGAGGTAACAAGGCTGTGGTACTTTAGAATGCCTTGGAAGGAACATGCGAGTAACGAGGAAGCATTAAGGAAAAAAGAAACAAATGATGCTTATAAATGATTCTCATAATTAGAATCAGAAAGAGGCTTGAAACTTCTAGCACACATAATGAGGAAAGAAGGCTTGGGGAATTTGACATGCACAAGACATAATGAAAGCAAGAAAAACAAAAGAAACGGCGAGTAAGCTATTTAAATCTGCTTGCGTAAATGAAGGCAGAACATGGAGGAGAAGTGAGAGTAAAAAAGACGGCAAACTTCGATCAAGGTGCACGAAAAATAAAAAAAAACAAAGTGACAAAAAGACAGTTTTAATATTTTTTTTTGTTGTAAATTGTGAAGGACAACAAAAAATAAATACAAATTCACTTTCACATGCTTAGGTTTTATTAACATAAAATCTTTCTCAGGTCCAATAACAGTTATTGCACTTTCCAGTTTTGATTGGGGTTTCCTTCCTTTTGTTTGAAGTAGTGTGGAATATCAATAACTTGTCAGTATTTTTTCTTCGAGGTAAATGTGCTATCCATTTTAGTTGTTGCCACTGTTGAAAGTTCCCAAGTGATGTGGTTTCTGTTATTTGGTACAGATCTTTTTTTGAATAGTTAATTTTTATGCACAGCGTAAACGGTTTATAAAGAAATTCCAAGAGGTTTAGTGAATACAACAAACAGTTGAAAAAGGCCGCGAATTACAACAGATTAAAGATTACGCATCGAACAAGAAAGAAGAGGGCAACAGTTTGGATAAATAAAACAGACAGGTATAGGAAAACACGGACTTGTTATATTTAGGCCATGTACTTTTTTTTTTTTAAGCGTTTCACCCCAAGCAAGGCGGGAAGC